CAGGGTTTTGGGGGTCACGCAGGGTTCTGGGGGGCTCACCTTGAGGCAGTTGTAGCCGATGATGCACAGGAAGGCCACCAGCGTGTGGGCCAGCGCCAGCCCCCGCAGGGCCGGGCCCATGTAACCCGTGCTCTCCTCCAGGAAATAATAAACCTCGGGCTCCTCCGAGACCCCCCCCGCGGCCTCGGGACCCCCCGGGACACCCCCGTCCTCCTCCGGGGCCACCCCCGAGCCCTCGGGCTCCTCCGGGGCTCCCGGGGGGTGCTCGGACACCTGCGGGGACAGGGACACGTCAGGGACCCCCCCCGTGGGGACACCGGGGACTGGGGGCACCCAAAGTGTCCCCAGACCCCCTCTGTGGGGACCCAGGACCCCCCCAAACCCCCTCTCCCCCCCTTCCCGGCCCCCCCACCTTGTAGAAGAGGAGGATGAAGTTGATGGCGAAGGCCAAGAACAGCGCCAGGAACCGCAGGTTGTAAAAATTCCGGGACAGGTAATTCTGAGGAGGGGGACAAAACCAATCCGTGACTCCACAAATGCCCTGGAGACCCCGACCCCCGACCCCCGGACCCCTCCCCTTACCAGGAATTTCACCCTCTGCACCTCCAGCTCTCCCCAGAAGTCGAAGCCCCCCTCGGCCGGGGGCTCCCGGCGCTCCCTGGGCACCGATTTGCGCCGTTTTGGGGGGGGGGGCCTGGGCTCCGAGCCCCCCTCGGGCCCCTCGGGTCCCTTCTCGCCGTTCTCTGTGCTGGGGGGGACAGCGGGGATGGGTTGGGGGGTGCTCAGGGACCCCCCCCCAAATTGGGCAGGGACCCCTCCCCAAATTCGCTCCTTACTCGGCTTTCTCGGTCTCGGCCGGGGGCTCCTCCTCTTTCTGCACCTCCCCAACCTGCTCTGCCATTTCCTGGGGGGGTAAAAGAGGGTGGGGGGTGACCCCCAGGACCCCCAAAACTCCCTCTGGATCCCCCAAAATCCCCTCACCACGAGCAGCCGTAAGGACCCCCAAAATCTCCCCTTGGCTCCCACCCTTTGTAGTGACTCCCCCCCNACCCCAGACCCCCTTTCCCCGCTTACCCCGATCTTCCTGCGCAGGATCGGGGTCCCCTCAGGGGTGGGGGGCTCAGCCCCGGGGGGTTCCCCGATATCCCCGAGCCCCCCGGGAGCGTCGGGGGCCGCCAGTCTGAAATGGGGCTCCTTGCGCAGCCCCGGCCCCGCCGGCGCCGCCTTCACCTCCTTCCTCTGCTCCTGCTCCTCCTCATCCTCCTCCCCCTCCACCTCAGCCGCCGCCTCCAGCTGCGCCTCGGGGGGCTGCTCCCCCTCGGGGGGTCGCCCCTCATCATCCTCGCCGCCCCCGGCCTCACCCCCACCCCCCACGGCATCCTGGGTGGGGTCGGGCATGGAGCCCAGCACCTCCATGACCCCCAAGCGCTGCGCCCCTTCCACCAAGCCCCCCCCGAAGAGCGAGCTCCAGGCCAGGCGCCCCAAAACCGCCAGCACCCCCAAACCCCCCAGCACGCCCCCCACGGCCACGCGGCCCACGCCCAGCCCGGCCTCCCACGCCAGCTCCCGCCCCGACTTCTTCCTCAGCCTCCTCATCCTCCTGCGCCACGTCTGGGGCGACCCCAGCACCCTCCTGAGCACGCCCAGCCCCGGCAACGCCGACGCCGGCGCCTCCGGCCCGGCCGGCTCCTCTTCCTCCCTGTCCTCGTCCTCCTCCTCCTCGTCGTCGCGCGGCGCCTCCTCCTCGGAGATGCGCGAGGCGATCTGCATCTCGAAGATGGTGTCCTCGCAGAAATTCACGAACAGCTCCATCTTCTCGGCCTCGCCGCCCTCGTTGACCACGTCGAAGATGAACTGGCGCTTGGACTCCTTCACCTGCGGCATCTCCCACTGCGCCTTGTTGGCGCCGCTGATCTCGAAGTAGATGCGCTCGATGCGCCGCGCCGCCCCCATGATCTCGATGCGGCCCAGGAAGGGCCGGAAATAATCCAGGATGCTCTCGGCCTGCTCCAGGAAGGTCTTGAGGCGCTGGTCGTGCGGCACGTGCTCCGACAGGTTGGTGAGCAGCACGGCCACGTTGAAGCCGATGTCGCGCGCCGGCTCCTGGAAGCGCTGCGCGAAGCTCTCCACGTCGATCATCTCGTTCTCGTCGGCCTCGGAGCACGAGAGCAGGAACTGGATCTCGTCGGGCTCGTACTGCTTCTGGCTGTCCATGGCCTTCTGGAAATCCTTCTTGGAGATGAGGCCCCGCGGGTCGGTGACGAAGTGGCGGAAGGCGTCGGACGAGACGATGTCGCGCAGCTTGAGGAACATGTCGAAGAACTTGAGGATCATGGTGACGTTGCTGGAGGACTCCACCAGCATGTCCACCATCTGCCGAGCGATGGTCCCGTTCACCACGTTCCCTGAGGGGGGAGGGACGCGTCACCGCGGCTGGGCGGGGGGGCAGAGCCCCTGGGGGGGTCAAGGGACACGGGGTGGGCACCTTGGGGTGGTCAAGGGACACCTTGGGGTCAAGGGACACGGGGTGGGCACCTTGGGGTGGTCAAGGGGGCACCTTGGGGTCAAGGGACACGGGG